CCCACAGGGGGTGGTCCCAAGGTGCTGGGGTGGCCCTGTGGGTGCTGGGGTGGCCCCGTGGGTGCTGGCATGGCTGTGCCCACCCTCCCCAGGGTCACACAGGGCAGGGGGGGTGCCCGGCCCCTCTGAGCCCCGTGCCCTGTCCTGGCACAGCGTGACGATGGCTCCGGCCTTCCGCCTGTCGCTCAAGGCCAAGGTCAGTGACAACATGAGCCACCTGATGGTGGATTTCGCCCAGGAACGGCGCCTGCTGCAGGGCCTCGCCTTCCTGCCAGGTATTGCCAGGGCAGGGGGGCACGGGGGGACAGGGCAGGGCACGGCCAGCCTGGCACCAGGGTGGGGGTCACGCCCTGGGGCACTGCCAGGCCTGGGGTGCCTTTCCAGAGGGGCAGGAAGGTGCCAGGGATGGGTGGAGGCATGAGGGGTTTGGGTGTTGTGCCCAGGGGGGCGGTGAGGGCCGTGCTGGGGGTCTCTGGCTGCCATGGGGTGGGGTCCCATGGGTGCCACACCTGAGGTTTGTGACTTGTTGAGCCCGCGGGGTGTGGGGGAGCCCTGGGGGTGCCCGGGAGCGCTGGGGAAGCCCTGTGTGACAGGGAGGGGGGACACTGGCACGGCTGCTCCTGCGGGCAGTGCCCAGCGCCCCCGAGATCGACCTGGCGGAGTCTCTGGTGGCCGATAACTGTGTGACCCTGGCCTGGAGGATGCCCCACGAGGACAGCAAGATCGACCACTACGTGCTGGAGTACCGCAGGACCAACTTCGAGGGGCCCCCCCGTGCCAAGGAGGACCAGCCCTGGATGGTCATCGAGGGCATCAAGGGCACTGAGTACACCCTCACTGGTGAGGGCACGGCCCTGCAGCCGGCCCTGGGCAGGCACCGGGCTTGTCCCAGGCTCTGTAAGGGACACGGGGGTGGCAGTGCCCTCCTTGTGCCTCACCCCATGACCCCGCTGTGCCCACAGGGCTGAAGTTTGACATGAAGTACATGAATTTTCGGGTGCGGGCGTGTAACAAGGCGGTGGCGGGCGATTTCTCCGAGCCGGTCACTTTGGAGACCAGAGGTGGGTCCGGGGAGGGTGGCAGGTGCCCGTGTGCCCCTGTGCCAGCCCTGTGGGGCGGTGGCCAGGCTGGGGGAGCCGCGGCACCGCTGACGGGGGCCGTCCCCAGCGTTCGTGTTCCGGCTGGATGCCAGCACGTGCCACCAGAACCTGCGGGTGGAGGAGCTGAGCGTGGAGTGGGACGCCACGGGAGGGAAGGTGCAGGACGTCAAGGCCCGCGAGAAGGATGGCAAGGGCAGGACAGCCTCCCCTGCCAACTCCCCTGCCAGGTAACGCCACCCCCGGGCCCCCAGCACAGCCCCTGGGCCTGGCAGTGCCAACCCTGCCCTGTCCCCGCGTGCCAGGGTGGTGCAGTCGCCCAAGAGGATGTCCCTGGGCCGTGGGGGCCGCGACCGATTCACCGCAGAGTCCTACACGGTGCTGGGTGAGAGGAGCACACGGGGTGGGGCTTGGGCACCCAGGGGTGTGGGGTTTGGGCACCCAGGGGTGGGGTTTGGGCACCCAGGGGTGTGGGGCTTGGGCACCCAGGGGTGTGGGGCTTGGGCACCCAGGGGTGTGGGTGAGGAGGGGATACACGGGGTGGGGGTTTGGGCACCCAGGGTTGTGGGGTTTGGGCACCCAGGGGTTTGGGAGTGTGGGGTTTGGGCACCCAGGGGTGTGGGGTTTGGGCACCCAGGGGTGGGGTTTGGGCACCCAGGGGTGTGGGTGAGAGGAACACATGGAGTTTAGGGCTTGGGCACCCAGGGGTTTGGGGTTTGGGCACCCAGGGGTGTGGGGTTTGGGTACCCAGGGGTTTGGGGTTTGGGCACCCAGGGGTGTGGGGCTTTGGGCCATGTAGGGATGTGGGTGAGGAGGGGGCACAGAGGGGGCGATGCAGGGGTGCAGGGTGGCACCGTGGCGGGGTGGGGACGGGACAGGGCACCCTTGGGTGCCCCAGGCAGAGCCGTGGCCGTGCCCCAGGGGACACCCTGATCGACGGGGACGAGCACTACTGGGAGGTGCGCTACGACCGCGAGAGCAAAGCCTTCGGCGTGGGCGTGGCCTACCGCAGCCTGGGCAAGTTCGACCAGCTGGGCAAGACGGCGGCATCGTGGTGCCTGCACCTCAACAACTGGCTGCAGGTCAGCTTCAGCGCCAAGCACAACAACAAGGCCAAGGCGCTCGACGTGCCCGTGCCCGACTGCATCGGCGTCTACTGCAACTTCCACGAAGGTGCGGCTGGGCTGGGCTGCGGCTGGCACCTGCCTGGGCGTTGGGCCCTCCCTGGGTACCAGTGTGGTATTGGCACCGCCATGGGCATTGTCACCGCCATGGGCACTGTCACCTCCATGGGCATTGTCATCACCATGGCCATTGCCACCTCCATGTCCATTGTCACCTCCCTGGCCATTGTCACCTTCATGGGCATTGTCATCACCATGGCCATTGTCACCTCCATGGCCATTGTCACCTCCCTGGGTACCAGTGTGGTATTGTCACCACCATGGGCATTGTCACCTCCATGGGCACCAGTGTGGTATTGGCACCACAATGGGCACTGTCACCTCCATGGCCATTGTCACCTTCATGGGCATTGTCATCACCATGGCCATTGTCACCTCCCTGGGTACCAGTGTGGTATTGTCACCACCATGGGCATTGTCACCTCCATGGCACCAGTGTGGTATTGGCACCACAATGGGCACTGTCACCGCCATGGGCACTGTCACCACCCTGGCCACTGTCACCACCCTGGCCACTGTCACCACCATGGCCATTGTCACCACCATGGCCATTGTCACCTCCATGGGCATTGTCACCTCCATGGGCACCAGCATGTCCATACTTCACATGGCCACCAACATCCACCATTGTCATCACCCTGGCCATTGTCACCACCCTGGGCACCAGTGTGGCATTGGCACCACCATGGGCACTGTCACCTTCATGAACACTGTCACCACCATGGTCATTGTCACCACCCTGGCCACTGTCACCACCATGGCCATTATCACCTCCCTGGGCACCAATGTGGCATTGTCACCTCCATGGGCATTGCCAACCTCCATGGCCACCAGCATGTCCATACTCCAGCATGGCCACCAACATCCACCACTGTCACCTCCATGGCCACTGTCACCACCACAGGCACTGTGCCCGCCCCGTGCCCACCGTGTCCCCATTCCCGCAGGTTTCCTGTCCTTCTACAACGCCCGCACCAAGCAGCTGCTCCACACCTTCAAGGCCAAGTTCTCGCAGCCGGTGCTGCCGGCCTTCATGGTAAGGCTGGGGGGCAGGGCTGGGGGTCCTGGGGGTCTGCCAGCGCTGGGTGCCACCCGCTGAGCCCCTGCTGTGTCCCCAGGTGTGGTGTGGCAGCTTCCAGGTGACATCAGGCTTGCAGGTGCCCAGCGCCGTGCGCTGCCTCCAGAAGCGCAACAGCACCGCCAGCAGCTCCAGCCTGCCCTGAGCCTGGGCACGGCCCGGGACGTACCCAGCCCACCCCAGCCCTGCCGGGCTCTGCCACCTCCGGGGCTGCCCCCCAACTCTGTGCCCCCCCCAGCACCGCCCTGCAGGGCTCTGCCACCTCCGGGGCTGCCCCCCAACTCTGTGCCCCCCCCCGTGTCACTGGGGCTCGTTGTCCCCCCCAGCACCGAGAGCTGCTTCTGGCCTGGAGAATAAATCGGGATGTGGGTGTGACCCGGCTGTGCTGGGGGCACAGGGGGCACTTTGGGGTTCCTGTGACACCCCCGTGGTGCCAGGGGGCACTTTGGGGTTCCTGTGACACCCCCGTGGTGCCAGGAGCAGGAAGGGGCTGGGTGGGCACAGGGTTCTTTATTTACAGTGCCCCCCCACCAGACATGAGGGGGGTTCCCTCCCCGGTGCCACCACAGGCCGGGGGACACTGGGGACAGTTTTCCTGAGGGTAAGGGGGGGTCCTGCTGGCTGCTGGCACAGAGTGGGGGGCAGCGGGCACCCCCAGAGTTCCCCATCACTGAGCCTGGCACAGCTGCAGCTTCTCGGGCAGCTCCCTGAGCACTGGGGGGTTCCTTGTCCCTTCTTTTGGGGATCCCAAAGCTGGGGGGTTCCCTGTCCCTTCTTTTGGGGGGTCAGAATTCCCAGGGATCCCAAAGCTGGGGGGTTCCCTGTCCCTTCTTTTGCGGGGGGTCACAATTCCCAGGGATCCCAAAGCTGGGGGGTTTTCCCTGTCCCTTTTTTTGGGGATCCCAAATCTGGGAGGGTTCCCTGTCCCTGTTTTTGGGGGTTGCAATTCCCAGGGATCCCAAAGCAGGGGGGTTTTCCCTGTCCCTTCTTTTGGGGGTCAGAATTCTCAGGGATCCCAAAGCTGGGGGGGTTCCCTGTCCCTTTTTTTGGGGGTCAGAATTCCCAGGGATCCCAAAGCTGGGGGGGTTTCCCTGTCCCTTTTTTTGGAGGTCAGAATTCCCAGGGATCCCAAAGCAGGGGGGTTTTCCCTGTCCCTTCTTTTGGAGGTCAGAATTCCCAGGGATCCCAAAGCTGGGGGGGTTTCCCTGTCCCTTTTTTTGGGGGTTGCAATTCCCAGGGGTATGTGGTGGGTGCTGGATGCGTAGACGTGACACTGTCCCCTCCCAGCTGCTGGAACATCTGCCACCTTCCTCCTGCCCCAGGGGCATCTCGGAGCTCCTGGGGGATTCAGCTGGGCTCCCCTCTCTAGAAACAGGCTCTTTATTTCCTCGCTCAGAAAAATAGATTAATTCCCAAAGTCAAAAACAAAAAACAAAAAAAAGAGTTTTAAAGAAGGAATGATGAAAGTGGAGGCTGGAATGTGGCTGGCAGCAGGGCTGTACATGAGATGGCGCGGGTGGGGCTGTGCCACCCCGCTCAGTAGCTCTCCTCCTCCTCGGGGTAGTGGTGGTACCCGCCCTGGTGCCCCGCGGCGTTGGCCACCTCGCCCTGGCTGCCCTGGGGGCAGTACTTGGGGTCGTAGATCTGGCGGCCGAGGCCAAAGACCTGCCCGCTCTGGTTGGCGCCCTGGTTGGAGCCCATCTGCAGCGACATGGAGGAGTTGTCACACTTCTCTGTCCCCGTCTTGGCGTCGTAGATGTGTCTCCTGGTGCCGGGAGCTGTCATGCCCACCTGGAAGGAAGGGCAGGATGGAGCAGGCTGGGCTGTGGCCCTGCCACCCCTCGCCAGCCCGGCGTGGGGGGCTCACCTGACTGGCACATTTGTTCGTGCCCATCTGGAGGCTGATGGTGGAGTGGTCCATGGGCGGCAGGATCTGATTTTTGGGATCGTAGAGGTGCCTCCGGGTGCCGTAGGCCGTCATGCCGGACTGGCTGGCACACTTGTTTGTGCCCATCTGACAAAAGGGCTCTGGTGAGGAATGTGTGCTGCCCCACACGTGCCCCTTCTCCCCATCCCTATCCCCCCCCAGCCTGAGCAGCACAGCCAGAGCTCCAAAACCCCTCTCAGGCTCCACAGAGCCAAGATGGTCCCAGATCCCAAAAACACCTGAGGCACCTCGTGCCTTAGGTCCCTCAGCAACGCTTGGAGCTGTGACAGCGCTGAGAATGTGACAGAATTCAAGTGGGCACCCTTTGCCCAGCCCCCCGCCCCACCCGTGGGACCCTGTGCCCACCTGCAGCCCGATCACACACTGCCCAGCCTTCATCTTGCTCTCGTCGAAATTCCTCTGCTGCTTCTCCGAGTACTTCACGCCGATGTCCACCCCACTCTGCAGCCCCTTCGTCTTGGCCTGCCGGGAGTGGCTGTGAGGAAGGACAGGGGTCCCAAAGCCCCCCAAACTCGGGGTCTCCATGGGGCTGCAGCCCCTCCCCAAACTGCTCATCCCCCCATGCTCACCATTCCTGCCAGCGCCAGCAGCGACACCTGCACCTGCGTCAGGTTCCCGCTCTCAAAAAGGTCGTTGGCTTCGAAGAGGTCCACGGGGTTCATGCCGTAGCTGGCCATGGCCTTGATGAAGTTGGAGAGGTTCTCCAGCTGTGGAGAGGCGGAGGGGTGAGCCCCGGTGGGAGCTGGCACAGGAGGAGCAGCGGGCAGGCGGCAGCAGGGCTGCACCCACCTGGTGCCAGTTCTGAGCCGAGCGGTTGATCTTCCTCACCGCGTTGGGCTGCAGCTTGTTCATGAGCCTGGAGGGAGGGAGGGAGAGGTGAGGCTGTGCCAGGAAAAACCTCAAGGGGCTGCAGGGCATTGGCTCCTTTCGGGAAGGTCCAGCCCAGGCCTCCTCCTTGTGAGGTGAATTTCCCCCCCTCAGGTCCCAGTTTGTCCTCGGGGCTCTCCCCAGGCACAGAAGCCACGCGGGTGGCTCTGGCACGCATCCAGCCTCACCACAAGGGCTGGTGAGGGTCCCCTGGGGGCTCGGTACCCCCCATCTCCTCCCAGCTGGAGCAGGGGCTGGGGGCCATGCTCAGGGACTCACTCGCAGAGGATCACCCCGTCCTTCAGCCCCCTCTGGAAGTCAGGCCCGATCTGTTTTCCTGTCACGCTCTCGATCCACGTCCGCAGCTCGGCCTCCTTCTGTGGGTCGTACTTCTGGGCGAGCTGGGGGACAGTGGGGGGACAGCTTAGAAAACACCCCAGCGTGCAGCCCAACCCCTCACGGGGACAGTTCCCCCTCCCTGGTGTGGGACAGGAGCATGAGGATGATGCTGCCAGCAGACACGGCACCTTCTGAACCATTCCAAAAGCGTGAGAAGGGGGAAGTGACCCCCCAGATTTGTCTCTCCCTGTCTGCTGGAGCCCGTGGGAGCTCAGCTCTGAGCCCCAGGGGTCCTGGCGACAGATGCTCTCCCCTTCCCTTCTGTCCAGGCCCAGCCTCCACCACAGATTCCTCCGGATTCCTCCGGATTCCTCCGTCACCGCGGCTATGCCAGGAATGTGGATGCCTCCTCCCAAATGCAGACCAGCTGCCAGGGCCAGCAGCATCTCTGTCGTCTTGGCCCCCGGCCCACAAGGGAAGGGAAAGTCCTCCTGGCCTAGGGAGGGAAGGGGAGTGCTGTCCTGCCCCAGCCTGGCACCTCTGATGCTCAGCTGGCACCTGGGGGTGGTCCCAGGGCATCCACCAACCTCTCGCCCATCCTGTCCCTCCCTGGTCCTGTTACGTGCCGAGGCCATGAGTCCCTAGGGATCCTGGGCACGGGGAGACACTGGGATGGGCACAGCCCAGCCCCGCGAGGTGGCAGGGAGACACTCCAGTACCAAATGGAAGCTGGACGGACGCAGGACACGGATCGCCCTCACGGCGCCGTGCGTGTCCTGGCTGCGGGATTCTCAGTCCCACCGGATGAGTTTCTGGAGCATGAGCAGCTGAAGCCAGTTCCTCTTCCCTCCCATGGCCAGCCTGAGCATTTCCCAAGCCATGGAGTGTGCACGTGGACCAGCCCCAGAGAGATCCCACCACAGCCCAGTCTGTGAGTGCTTCCACAAACTGGGAGCATGGCACTGGTTCAACTGGTTCCCAGTTGGTGATGTCACCTCCATCACACACTCCGGGGCAGTTGGACTGGCTCGTGTCTTGCTGAATCAACATGAAGCACCAAGGCCCCGTTGCATGTCACCCGCTCAGCTGGGGCAGGCCGGGGCCCATCCACTCCTCCCCGTTACGAAATGCAAAATAAAATGTAATTCCCCTGCCAGGCCAGGTAAGGAGTGCCCATGTGGCCACCACATCTCGCCAACCACAGCCGTGGAAGCCACGTGCCCATCACCACCTGCCCCTTTTCCTGCCAGCCCTGGCCCTGTCCAGGTGTCCCCAGGCAGAACACACTCAAACCACCTCCCTGGGGTGACCACAGCTCAGTCTCTGCTCGCCTGGCACCGGGCACAGCCACCGAGCACCCGGGGCTGCCATGTCCCCTGTGCCCCCTCCCCAGCCTGGCACGACCCCCGTGCGCTGTGGAGGGGGCGGGAGGTGCCGGCAGCTCTCTGCACCCCGTGGCACCCGGATCCCACCCAGGGGTGCAAACAGCGCAGCCGGAGGCTCCCATCCATCCCTCCTTCCCCGGGGGATCACCGGGCCCGAAAGCCGCATCCCCAGAGCCGGGTCGGAGCATCCCGCAGAGCGATGCGGAGCTGCGGGGAAGCAGAAAGTGGAGAAGATTCGTGGAGCTAATCCGGAGCCACGGAGAACCGAGGCGACCGTCCCCAGCCTCGGGTGTGACGGGAAGGGTTCCCCGCGGTTTGCCGGGGCAGCGGCCACCGCACCGGAGACCCCAACCGCGGTCCCCCAAAACACGTCCCTGGGACCCTCTAGGCAGGCTCGGGGCACTTGGAGACTGGGAGCCCAGCTGCGGCATCCCCAGCCCTCCGAGAGCTCGGTACACCGGGTCCTTCCGCGCCGCACCCTCCCGGGAAGCCCCGCATTCCCATCTTCCCGGAATCCCCCGACTTTTCTCCGCTCTTGCCCGGCTCTGCACTCCTGGGACATACCGGAAAAACCCCCGCCTCTCCAGAACCCGGGATGCCCCAGCAGCACCGGGGTGCTCGGCTCTCCCGGGCCTCCAGGAGCACCGGCAGCCACAGCGCCCGGTGGCCCCGGTATCCCCCAGCCCCCGCTTCACCCCCGGTGGTCCCGGCCCCCGCCGCGGCTCACCCGGTTCTTGACTTCGGCGGAGAGGCCGTAGGACGGGCCCTTGTTGAACTGGGAGCTGCTCATGGCAGGGAACAGAGCCGGTACCGGAGCGGGGAGCGGGCAACGGGGCCGGTACCGGAGCGGGGAGCGGGCAACGGGGCCGGTACCGGAGCGGGCTCTGGCGGGGCGGAGGCGGGGGCGGGTCGGGCCCGGCCCCCTCCGCGTTGATTGGACGGGGAGAAATGTCCAAATTAGGGCAGGAGCGGCCGGATCGAGGGGAGGGTCCCGAACCCCGACACTGCGACTCGGGGAGCACCGGGAGGCACCGGGAGTCGGGGGAGCCCGGGGCCGGAACTGGAACCGTCCGGGGCACAGGCGTGTGTGTGCCCACGGGCACGCGTGGGACGTTCACACACACCCACACCCACACACAACACACACGCACCCACGGGCGCTACCCCGCACACGCACAGCACATTCACTCACGCACTCAGACATCCACACGCACCTGCCTGCGCACGCCCACGGTCACGCACACACGCAGGACACGCGTACGCCTTCCATCGTCCCGCACCCATCCCCGACCGCGTCCCCTTCCCCTCGGCCGGCATAAATCCCACGCAAGATGGCCCGGTACGGCCCGGTCCGGCCCGGCCTCGCGGGGCGGTCCCGGGATGAAGATGGGCGGGGAGGGGATCCTCGCCATCGCCCGTGGGCAGCGGCCGGGGGTCCCAGCAGTGCCCAGAGGGCCCGGCCCGGCTCTCTGCAGGGTTTGTCCGACGTGCCCCGGATACTCCCGTTGTGATGCCCCGTGGGTGGGAGAGTCACGGGTGGGACTGTGAGCGCACAGAGGCCGGTGAGCACAGAGGGCAGGGCTGTGACCCCAGAGGGCCGGTCCCGGCACCGACACCGAGCCCAGGGAAGGGCAGAGCCGGGAACATCCCAGAAGCGGGAGCCCGGAGAACCCCATCCCACCCAACCCCACACCTAGGGCCTTCAGAGGGATGGAGCTCATCGTCCCTGGACGGATGGACACCCCGAAACAGGGTGACCTCCCAAGAGAGCGAGTCCACTCCATAAACCCCGCACTGCAGCACTGAAACCCTCCCAACACCCCGGCAGTGCGGGGGTCCCGCTGCCCGCTGGGACCCCGCAGGGTGCCCCTGGCCCCGGCCTCGCGCCTGGGTGCGCGTTCGGCTTTTCCTGTTTCAGGTCGGGCTGCGAAGGCGATGAGGAAACGAGGCGGCGTCACACGGCGCCCTCCTGACACTGCGCCCCGCGAATGTGACCGGCGCCGGGAGGAACCGGCACGGCGGCCGGGCCGAGCGAGGGGCTGAGGGCAGCGGCTCGGCCCCCCGGGAACGATGTTCTCCCGGAAGAAGCGGGAGCTGATCAAAACCCCTTCCATCTCCAAGAAGAGCCGGGCGGGCAGCCCCGTCCCGCAGACCCTGCCGGTGAGTGTCTCCCCCGCACCCCTGGCACGGTGGGGGTTTTGGGGCAGCAGCACCCACGGAACCGCTGAGCAGAGGCACAGCTCGGCAATGGATACGTCCAGCAGGTCTGCGAAGAGGAGGGAAACGAGAAAGAACCCTGCTCGCGGGGCTGTGGGGGTGGAATTTTGCCCCCGATGAAGGGGATGGAGCAGCCGCCGAGGGAGGCGGGAGGGCAGGAAGGGACAGGGAGGAAACGGGGGGGATGTCACCGAGGGTTTGCGAAGGGCAGAGAGAGACTCACAGATCTCCCTGGGGGAGATGGGAGCGGGGCGACCGCAGGCTCGGCCAGCCCCGGTGCCTCGGTTGTGCCAGATATTTCATTTCTCGCCGCGTGGAACCCCCCCGGTGCCGGCCAGGAGGAACCGCTGCCCGCCGGGGCTCCCCGGCGCGCCCCGCACTGCCCGCCCCGCGCCTGCGCCCCGCTCCCGGTGCGGGAGGCGACACCGGGCTGGCACGATGCGCCCGACGGCCACCCGCAGCCCACCCGCGGCTACTTAGCACGGGAAACCCGTCCCCATCCCCGTCCCGACTCCCCGGGAGAGGGGCCCGAGGGTGGCGGCCAGCGGGATGCTCGGCCGGGCTGCGGGCAGGAAAAGCTACAGCCCCTCGGCGGCGGCGGGCAGAGCCCACCCGCCCCAGCGCTGCCTGGACTCGCTGCCCCGCACGCCCGCCGTGAGGCTGACGGTACGGCCGGGGGCACCCCGGGGCGCCGGAGGGAGGGACGGGATAGGGCTGGGGTGGCCCCAAGGCGTTTTGGGGCGGAGGTCTTGCTGCCTCCTCGCAGCCCCGCGGTGGTCTGGCCGCCCAGATGGGGATGGGGTTCCCCGTTCGCCCTCGCCCGCGGAAGCCTCGTGCTCTCGGCGCTCCGTGTCCGCCCCGCCGGTGCCAAAAGCGCTTCCGGCAGCGCCCGGCCAGGGATGCTCGGAGCCCGCGCGTTCGTGTCAAAGCGGGTGCCGGGGGTCGCCGGTGGGAGCTGCTGAGGGGCTGCAGGGTCCCCTCGCCACGCCCGAGGACTCGCACTGGATGTGCGGCTCTCAAGCCGTGACAGCTCTGAACAGTGTCGGTACCGGCCCTTCCCTCAGTGCAATTTTACCCCTAGAAATTTGGGGCTTCCTCCATCTGTAAAATACCTGCAAAGCCCAAATAATAGCCTGGGGGGTGTCCCTGTCTCTGCCTCCTTCCCCAGCACGGGAACAGCTGAAAAAGAGGAAGAGATATGTGGGCGGCTCCTGCTGCCATTTTGCTTTTTGGGGGTCCGCAACCCCCTGGGATGGGCAGCCCCATCATGGTGGGCGCTGGAGTGGACAAGCAGCGTCACCCACACCATCACTGTGTGCACCTCATGACAAACGTGGACCCAGAAGAGCTGGCAGGGACTGATGGGGGCAGCCAGGCGAGTGCCCAGACCGTGCCCACTCTCCCATGACACTCCCAAAGAGTATCCCTGCCGGGGGAAACTGAGGCACCACACAGCTGCAGGGTCTGGCACCAGTTCCCCAGGATGGTGGCATGGGGTGCCTCCCTCCGTGGGGTCCCCACCATGCTGGCTACGTCCTCACGCTCACCCTTGGTCCCCAGGACCTCTCCCGCAAGGATTGCCTGGAGGCCCCGGGCTCCAGCGCCGGGGAGCTGCCCCCGGGCAGCGCCAAGCTCAGCAGCAGCCCCAGCGCCGTGGGCACCCTGAAGCGCCCCACCAGCCTGAGCCGCCATGCCAGCGCTGCCGGCTTCGCCCTGCCCACGGCCCCCCGCGCCGTGCCCAAGGGCCACAAGAGCCCCATGTCCTACAGCCCCATGGAGGGCGGGGAGGGTCCCTTCATCGACCCCGAGGACATCTCCCAGCTGCTGGCGGACGTCGCCCGCTTCGCCGACGCCCTGGAGAAGCTGCGGGACGTGGTGCTGCGCGACGGTGAGTGCCAAACGCCCGCAGCACAGCGCCCTGGGACTGACCCACCCGTGGGTGGGGGTCTCTGGCTGGGCCAGAGGGTGCCAGGATTGTTGGGAATCTGTGCAGCTGCAGCCAGAGGTGCTGGGGGAGTGCAGCTCAGGCAGAGGTGCTGGGGGAGTGCAGCTCAGAGCCAGAGGTGCTGGGTGAATGTAACTCAGAGCCAGAGGTGGGTGAGTGCAGCTCAGAGCCAGAGGTGCTGGGTGAGTGCAGCTCAGAGCCAGAGGTGGGTGAGTGCAGCTCAGAGCCAGAGGTGCTGGGTGAGTGCAGCTCAGAGCCAGAGATGGGTGAGTGTAACTCAGAGCCAGAGGTGGGTGAGTGTAACTCAGAGCCAGAGGTGCTGGGTGAGTGTAACTCAGAGCCAGAGGTGCTGGGGGAGTGCAGCTCAGGCAGAGGTGCTGGGGGAGTGCAGCTCAGAGCCAGGATAACGTGGCTTCCTGCCGCGAGCTATTTTCATCCGCCCGTTTTCCTGTTTACAGCACAGCGGTGCCAGCCGCCCGCCAGGGCCCCCAGGCCCCCGTGGGGTGCCAGGCACGGCCCCCCAACCCATCAGGGTGGCCAGAAGGAGGGTCTGGGTGGTCTGCAGGCTCACCAGCAGCTCTCCTTGCCCGAGGGGACACAGGGGATGCGTCAATCCCCTGGGCTGGGGGCACGTTGTCAGTTCTTGTTCTGCAGTAACTCCTTTCCAACCCTGAGCTGGGGGCTGGCGTGCAGAGGGGTCTTTGCCTGGCTGGGCAGTGGGTGCTGATCCCCCATCCCAGCACTTCCCTGAGGGAGGTTCCTCACTTCCTAACAGGCTGTCAGTCCCCAGTGCAGGTCCAGACCCCTGGGCTGGCAACTGGAGCCCAAAGAAGGGAGGGTTCTGGGGGGAACCTTTGAGATGCAACGAGCCTGGCTGGACCAGGCCAATCCCTCCTGGCTGGGAGCATCCATCCGGCAGCAGGGAGGGAAGGAAATGGAGGAAATTCCCAAACTGCTTTCAAGGGGAAAAGTTACTATGGAGGAAAAAATGCTTCAAAGGTCAGACTGCTCCCTGGCCAGTAGCAGGCTGGGCTGTGGGGAGGTGCTGGACAAGCAGGATGTGGCCGTGCCAGGCCTGGGAAGCCCTGAGGCTGATGTGCTGCATGGTCTGGGAGATGGCAGGTCCCTGTCTTGGGGATGGCTGGGAGGTAAAACGGGACAGGGACAGGGACAGTGACAGGGACACGGGACAAGGATGCAGCATCTCAGCCCCCCTCTCTTGCAGAGCCTAAGGAGCAGCAGCGGCCGCTGGCCCACGAGTGCCTGGGTGAAACCCTCCGCATCCTGCGCCAGGTGATCAATAAATACCCGCTGCTCAACACCCTGGAGACCCTGACGGCTGCTGGGACCCTCATCTCCAAAGTCAAGGGTGAGGCGGCGGTGCTGGGAGCTCTGTCCCACTCCCCTCCTGCCCCACAGTGAGCTGGGAGGGAATTTTGGAGCCCATGAAGGGGCTGCCAGGAGTGGAGTTGCCCCAAAAGCATTGTCTGCCTCTTGGTGTGATTCAGCTTTAAGGGCGAGGTAGTGTCAGAAATGACAGATCCTGCCTGGGGGTTTCCAGGCACAGCCGCAGGAAAAACACTGAAATGATCAGATCCTGCTCCTGGCAGCCTCTCATGTTTGTGGAGAGGGGTCTGGGAGGTCAGATCCCAGCTGGGCACCACTTCCTGCTGCTCTACCCATGGGGAGGGGGCAGCTGCACCTACCACAGGCACGGCACAACCTCCTGAGTCACCCGTGGCTTCCTGGACACCCAGCAGCAACCACGGGGGACAGGATGGCAGGAGGGCTGCCATGAGAATGGTTCCACATGGGGGTGGGAGGGAATGGGCTGGGAGCAGAGCCCTCCCCACCCCAAGGAGCTGCCCCAGGGTCTGCCCGGGAGCTCTGGTTGCTGGTGTCCATGGTATGGGAGCCTGCCAAGCACTGTCAGCCCCAGTTCCTGCTGCTGCTGGTGGTTCCTCATTTGGCTGTGGGCAAGAGCCCTCCTGGAGGAGTTCATCCTGCCTGGAGGAGCCATCAGGCAGGGCAGGCAGTGGAACAAGTCCAGCAGAACTTTTCCAGCAGCCCTGAGTAACGGGAATAAACAAACATGAGCCAAGAGATGCTGTCAGGGACGTCAGTCCTGGGAAGAAGGAGAGGGAAGCTACTGTGCTGGAAAAATCCTTTGTCCATAGGGATGATCCTCCCCACTGCTCCCTTGATTCACCCCAGCCCCAAAGCCCTCTCTGATACCAGCACGACCTGGCAGGGCTTTCTGCTGAGGCAGAGACGGGTGCTTGTGGCAACAGGGCTTCCATATTTCCTCACCTCCAGGTTTCCACTATGAATCCAACAACGAGGCAGACAAGAGGGAGTTCGAGAAGGCGGTGGAGACCATCGCCGTGGCCTTCAGCAGCACGTAAGGGCGTTTGAGCAGCCATGCCCTGGAGACAGCCCGTGTCACTGTGCTGAATCCAGCCCTGCTCCTCTCCCCACAGGGTGTCCGAGTTCCTCATGGGGGAGGTGGACAGCAGCACCATCCTCTCCATCCCACCCAGCGACCAGAGCCAGGTGAGTGATGCCCGGATGCCTGGATGCTCCTGCCATCACACAGGGCTGCTCCCCTGAGCTCTGGTGTGAGCCCAGAGCAGGGTGTTGCTCCGGTGGCACTTCCATCAGCTGCCTGAGCACAGCTGACCTCCAGCAGTGGCAAAAAGGCTCCAGGAGCTCTGGCTTCCATCCATCTGGCCAGCCCCTCCAGCTGCTCCCCATCCTCTTGGCTGACCAGTCCCTCTTCTTTCCCAATTCCCAAAGACTATGGAGAGCCTCTACGGGGGGATTCCTGGGCCTAGAGGAGATGGAGTGCCCTCAGGCATGGACAGCTACGACACAGGTGAGCAGGACGAGTTTGGGTGCAGGGTTTGGGGTCTGTGCAGGAACCAGCACCTTCCCCATCGGCGCTGCCCTCCTGAGCCACGCCTGGCTCCTCAGCTGGGGAAAGGAGCAGAGCTGGTGGCACCAGGGCTGGCACAGAGCTGGGGGATTGGCACTGGCAGCTCCCAGAGGGAGCTCAGGGTGTGTCCATCCCTCCACAGCCCGTCCCCCGGCCGAAGCAGTGGATGTGATGCTGCAGCGCTGCGAGGGCGGCGTGGACGCTGCCCTCCAGTACGCCAAAACCATCTCCAAGTACATGAAGGACCTGATCGGATACGTGGAGAAAAGGACCACGCTGGGTGAGTGGGGGGGAAGGCAGGTGGGTCTCTTCTGGAGCAGGTCTGAGCCACAGGACAAGCTGAGGTCCCTCCTGGAGGAAGCTGATGCTGCCGGGGCAGTGGGAACCTCACTCCTCCAGCTGCTGATTGATTTTTCAAAAGGAGATTGGGTTCCACCGGGAAAATCCCAGTGTCTTGTGTGTCTTTTCACTTTCAACCTTTTCCTTCCAGAGATAGAGTTTGCCAAAGGGATCCAGAAGATGGTAAACAACTACAAGCAAACAATCAGTCAGGAGGTAAGTTCCCAAGTCCCTGAAGCCCCCGGTGCCAGGCAGGATTGGGAGCCAGCAGCCCTGGAGAGCCTTTTCCATGTGTCCCAGCTCAGGAGGACTTGGGGGCAGCTTTTTGGAGCTCTGCCTGGAGAAATTCAGGATGGGGCTTTCACCAGCAGTCACCAGCCTTACCTTGCCTGTGGCTCTTCCTCCCCGAGGGATGCATCTCCTTGGGCTCACGCTGGTGCTGGGGCTCAGGGAGATGAGCTTTTCTTCTCCCCAGACTACCATGGTGCTGGGGCTCAAGGAGATGAGCTTTTCTTCTCCCCAGACCACCATGGTGCTGGGGCTTAAGGAGATGTGTTTTTCTTCTCCCCAGACCAGCATGGTGCTGGGGCTCAGGGAGATGTGTTTTTCTTCTCCCCAGACCACCATGGTGCTGGGGCTCAGGGAGATGTGTTTTTCTTCTCCCCAGACCAGCATGGTGCTGGGACTCAGGGAGATGTGTTTTTCTTCTCCCCAGACCAGCATGCCTTTGCTGTCCATCTATCTGCTGGCCCTGGAGCAGGACATGGAGCACGGGACCTCAGTTCTGCAGGCAGCCAACACCCTGCAGCAGCAAACCTTCCTTCCGGTGAGGGGACAGAAGGTTCCTGGGGCTGAAGGTCCTGGTGTTGCTCCTCCTTAGCTCAATCCAGAGGGAACCTGCATCCAGTACTTGCCAGGCTGTAGATTTTCATCCCTGGCACAAAGCAGTGCCTGTCACCTGCCCCCAGGAGTGACGGTGACCACACCAGGCTGCTTCTCCATGCAAAGTTTTGGCACGAGGGCAGAGCAGGAGTGCTCAGCTCAGGTGATCACGGGGCTGTTCCTCCCTCCCTCCTCACACAGCCGCTGGTGGCGAGGCGCCTGGAACACGAGAAACGCAGGAAGGAGATCAAGGAGCAGTGGCACCGGGCGCAGAGGAAACTGGTGAGTGACTGGGTTTGTGCTCCCCATCCCAGCCTGGAGCAACTCGTGACTCTGAGGGGCGACCCTGCCCCTCTCCAGCAGTTTTGGGTGCCTCTGCTGTGCCCGGCACAGCCCATCCTGGGCTCCATCCTCACCCTGGCTCTCCCTGGCAGCAAGAGGCTGAGGGGAACCTGCGCAAGGCCAAGCAGACGTACATGCAGCGCAGCGAGGAGCACGACAAGGCCAAGTACGTGGCGGTGAAAGCAGAGGAGGAGCAGCAAAGCACGACCAGCAGCATCACCACCAAAACCCTGGACAAGAAGAGGCGGCTGGAAGAGGAAGCCAAGAACAAGGTAGGAGGATGACAGCTCTGGAGGGGCCTCCCTGCTCCTGCTGTCCCCTGAGCCATGTGGGGTGAACTGATCCTCAGGAATGCCTGGATGTGTTGGAATCTGTGGTGTTGATGATTTTGGGATTGTAAAAGTCTCTGTCTGTCAGCCCCGCTGCCAAAGCAGAAGACATGATTGGTCTGTGCTGTTTCCAGGTTGTTTATTCTGTTGATCTCTCACATGTTCTGCTGCCCTGCCCAGCTCTGTCCTGCAGGGCAGCGTGTGGGGCTCTGCCCTCAGTGGGATGTGACAAACATTAAATACCAGAAACTCCCTGGGCTGGATTTACAAGAACGTGCCAATATCTGTCACCTACGTTGGACAGTGTGTCCCCAGCCTGAACCAACAGAAAAATGCCAACACCACAGTGAGACATGGAGGGCATGAAGAAGGAGAAAAAGGACAAGGCACACCCAATTTCCTCCATCTTGTCCCCTTTGGACCCCTCATCTAGAATCCTAAAATTTTACTTTTGCACCCGTGCCACCCTTAATTGTTACTGATATCAAGCACTCAGAGCTTGTAATTCATGCTGTAAGATTGAAAACTCTTTTCCATGGACAGAGATCACAGCCAGTGTCTCTGGGGGCTCCGTCCAGGGGGGTTCCTGACCCCTGCCAGGGTCCCGGGGCAGCCAGGGGGAAGCTCTGGATTTCCACATGGATGGACAGGGTGCAAGGGGCTGTTCTTATTCTCCTCACCTCTGAGCTTTCCCCATCCCTTGCTCTCCCAACTCGCAGGCAGAAGAGGCCATGGCCACGTATCGCACCTGTGTGGCCGACGCAAACACGCAGAAGCAGGAGCTGGAGGACACCAAGGTGAACTCGCTGAGGCAGATCCACGACGTGATCAAACAGACTGACCAGGTCATCAAGTCGGTGAGTGGGGCAGGGCTGGGCTGTCCCCAGGGCAGGAGGTGTGTTGTTACAGGATCCCTGAAAGCATGATGTGAGCTACTTGCTATTTGCAAGGTAAAGAAGAAGGTTTATTTTTTGACTTTTAACTTTTATATTTTTCTAAAGGTGACAGTGGATTGGAGAGTGAATGGGCCACCTCTCTAAAGACATTGGACAAACTACTAGTATATTAAGTTTTTTTACTTCCATGGAGGAATGTAAAAACAATATGTTGTTTATAGAAATTGTGGGGGGAAGTTTTTTAACAGAGTGTAAACTCAGAAGGTTTTAGAAAATCTTAAGGATCAGGGTGACAGAGGTGGCTGTGCCCTGCTCTGGAGAGCTCAGAGTTGCCTTCCAGCAGAGCTGCCCAAATTCCAGAGGGTGTTTGGGTGCACGCAGAGCTCCCCTCTCCCTCACTGCTCAGAAAAGTGCTGCTTTGCACTCTGTGCCTGCTCCAGGACGGTGTGGATGGATTGAGGCAAGAGATCTCTGCAGGCTGCTCTTGGGGAATGAGGTTTATTTGGGATGGAGAAAGGTCCTGCCTCGAGCTGCCAGACCCAGCACGGGCGAGGCTTGAGGGGATGGGGAGGGGAGAGACAAAAGGATGCTCCAGGAGAGGGGGAGTTCCACGAGGAGAGGAAGTTCCAATAGGAGGGGAAGTTCCAAGAGGAGGGATGTCACTATAGGACACGAGAAAGCACAACACGAGCCACTGCGATGGCAAGGTAAAAAAGAAGAAAGTTTATTTCCTGACTCCAGCTTTTATACTTTTCCAAAGATGACAGTGGATTGGAGAGTGAATGGGCCACCTCTCCAAACACATTGGACAAACCACCAGTACATCAACTTCCTCCACCCCCATGAAGGAATGCAAAACAATATCTTGTTTATAGAAAATATGTGGGAAAGTTTTCTAACAGAATACAAACTCAGAAGGCTTTAGAAAATCTTAAGAATCAGGGTGACAAGGGGAAGTTCCAAGAGGCCGTGTGGCCCCTCAGAGCCCCTTTTCGGGGGGCTTCTAGGTGGGCTGGAGCAAGGCTTGGGCCAATGGGGTTACAGGCACTTGATGTTTTAGGGGAGGGATACAGGTGCGGAGTGAACTGTATATTTTGGGGGTGAGATGGAACAATCCACTTGATCCCTGGGCACAAACTCTGCCCCTTTACCCTGGTAAAGAAATCTCACCAGTCCAGGTTCCTGATGTCAGTTTGTAGGCAGGGCCATTGTCCAGCTAGCAGGGAGAACCATTTTATCTTGCCTGTATTATTTATGAATAATTAAATTCACCCATCCTTCTCAACAGCGCTCCTCACTTCCCCCCTAACCTGGAGCCCACCGCGCTCACCTCTGTCCCTCTCCACGTCGCTTGTAGGCCACCATCTCCTTCTACCAGCTGATGCACATGCAGACGGCGCCGCTGCCCGTGAACTTCCAGACGCTGTGCGAGAGCAGCAAGCTCTACGACCCGGGCCAGCAGTACGCCTCGCACGTGCGGCAGCTGCAGCGCGGCGACGAGCCCGACGTGCAGTACGACTTCGAGCCCTACGTGCCCCACAGCGCCTGGTAAGAGAGGGGACAGAGAGGAGAGAGAGGGGACAGAGAAGAGAGAGGAGAGGCTCCCTGTCACCAGCCGGGGGCTGTGTACAAGTCACCAAGTGTGAGAACCCCAGCCTTGCTCTGGGGTCTCATTAGGTGGTGAAATTCCTCCTCCAAGCTGTGATTCCAAAGAAAAACTCTGCAGGCTTTTGCTGTTCTGTCTCAAGGCAGTTTATTGTGAGTTATCTATAAGATTTTCTTCTCGGGCTGTGGCTGCTTGGTCAGCGGCCTGGGCAAAGGCACACACACACCCTGACATCCTCTCTGTCTGCTGTCTTCTTCTTCTCTCCCCCTGCCCAGGGCTGCTGCTCTCTTTTATATGATATATTACATATTACATGTTTATAGTTTTCCCCCAATACCTACTACCTACATTACAAAGTGCTTTTCTACTCTAAACCAATCTGTGAGTGCCAACATCACCAAGAACATGGAGGTGAGGAAGAAGAAGGAGAAAGAGCAGGATCAGCCCACTTTCCTCCATCTTAGAACTTCTGACCCCCACGTACAAAGTAAAAACCCCCCTGCACAGGTGCTAAAACCCCCCTGTACAACACTAAAAAATTTCCCCTCTGTTTTGTAACTACTTTTACTATCCCATCTAACCCTTTGTGACTGCTTGTTCCACCTCCAAAGTTGGTAACTCATTCCATGGCTCAAACCCAAAATCACAGCTGTTTGCAGCTGTGCCAGGGTCTCAAATGCTTCTGACCAAGGCCTGGAACCTCTAAAAATGTCTGAGGGACATTTTGAGTTCCGACAACCAACGGGATGGGACTGTTGTGGAACGTCTCGAGATGTTGATTTTTTATCACTCTCATTCCATGGTTGTGACAATGGGAAGATGCCAGCAGCTCACATTGAGGCAACAGACCAAGAACTTAATGTTACAACTTACTTTAAAAGCTTTTTGACCAGTCACACAAAGTAAAAGCATATTGACAGTAGTTCTATCCAATCACTATTAGCACATGTACCTTTAGCTTATTTCTAATATAATACTTGCTCGAGCTGTTTATTTTTTAGCATCAGTCTCATTACACCGTTGTGACAATGGGAGGATTCCAGCAGTTCACATCCAGGCAACAGACTAAGAGCTTAATGTTACAACTTATTTTAAAAGCTTTTTGACCAATCACACAAAGTAAAAGCGTATTGACAGTAGTTCTGTCTAATCACTATAAGCACACGTACCTTTAGTTAAAACAATGCTTGCTTATTTTGAATACAATACTTGCTTGTAAGCCTTAAGATACAATGCACAGAGAGCTTAATAAGGTCTAAGCTTAATAATCCATTATTAAGCTTAGATCTTCCTAATATCTCACCAGATATACTTTTCTGCAACTTAGGAATTTATTCTACCCAAGCGTTAATACACACACTATTGTTCTATTTGTCCTTTCTTTCTACATCTTGTATACTTTTCCTGCTGACAAATCTTATAGCTACTGCTTAGCTCTAATCCTGCTGTCTGTGAGGCCTGCCTTTTGCAATGTGCCCCAAACCCTCTGATTTTAAGGAATCCCACAGCTTCCTTCCTGGGAAATGCTCCACTTCAGCCCTGGTGCCTTTGTTTTTTCCTCCTGCAGGAGGCAAGATGATTTCAGAATTCCTGAAGGCAGCTCCTGCTGGGAACGCTGGGGCTGGAGCAGCAGGGAGTTGCTCTCTTATCCTTCAATTCAACCTAGGCTGTTCAGTGTTTAAGATTCTGTGATTCCCTGGAGTGGTGGGTGGCAGCCATGGGTGAAGTCTCCACGTGTCCTTCCTTCCCATCCACCTTCCCTTTTCCCCTGCAGGTCTCCCTTCACTCAGCCCCACAAGGGCAGCTTCAATGCCAGCGAGTTCTCCAGCAGTGCAGAGGGAGCTGGGGCTGGCTCGGAGGGAGCAGCAGGAGCCAAGGAGTCACCAAGTGGGGCCGGAGCAGCCGAGCGAAGAGGTGAGTCTGGAGCCCCAGAGCTCTCCAGGTCCCCCCCGGCAGGAGCAGAGTGGCACCAGGGCATGAGGGGCTTTGCTGGCAGCAGCAGGACGAGCTGGGAGCCTCCTCCTGAAGGACACTGAATCAGATCTGTGGCATTCCGCTCCCTAAGAAACCATCTGCCCATCTCCCCTTTCCTTTCTGAGTGTCACTGGAAGCGCTGAAGCCCATCAGCAGCTTCTCCCCAGTCATCCCAGTTTCTCCCAGCATCCAGCCATTCCCTCCCAAACACAGACAGCAACCCCAACAGACCGTGTGTGTGTTCTTTCTGCAGGTGGGAGGGGACACCAGGTGCATAAATCCTGGCCAACCTCTGTCGCTGATGCTGAGAGCAGCCTGGATTCCAGTGCAGGTACATGTGGGAACGGCCCAGGAGCCCCTCCCAGCACAACCAGTCTAAACCCAAATCTTGCCAGTTAGACGGGACCATCCCCTGTTTTACCTGCCCTGTGAGAACGCTGCTGTAAATGACCCTGCTGATCCCAGTCTCCAGTGGGATAGGGTGGCGTTGTAAATGTAGGTGAACCTAATGGGGAGAAATTATGATGCTGACTCAATTCAGAAGGCTGAATTATTTCTTTATTATAACTATGATAAAATACATTAATATACTATATAAAAAGGGGATACTAAAACTACATACTACTTTCTTTGACTAACTCTCACACAACTCGTGCCCCTCCCTGAGAGTCCAGCCCCAGGTGGGTTGGATTGGCCACCAGGCTCAAACAATCCTCACCAGAATCCAATCAAGCACTCATTCTAGGTAAACAATTCTCCAAACACATTCCATGTAAGAAAAAAAAAAAAAGAGCAAAAATAAAAACTGTTTTCTCTTTCATTTCTCTCTGTGCACCTCTGCGAAAAATCCTGAGAGGGAGAGATGCCTCAGGGTGGGATGGGGTGAGCTCCCAGGGGAGAAGCAGCTTGGCAGGTGACTCAGGGCTCTGTGGGTTTTCCTTGCACAGGTGAATTCACCCACAAGCTCCAGCGGCTCTCATCCAACGGCACCGCGTCCTCCAGCGAGGAGCTGGAGGAGAAGGACGGGACCCCCACTCCCTTCGAGCAGAGTAGGTGACAGCGAGGGAGGTGACAGCGCTGCTGCCACCCTCCCCAGCACGGCAGAGCTCCCTGAGGGCTGCTTTTCCCAAATTCAGGTTCCTGATGGTGTCCCCAGCTGCCCTGCCTGTCCTCGGTGACAGTGGCCGTCCTGCTCACGTTTCCTTCTCCGTAGGCATCAACGGGATCGCCCCGGAGCTGGCAGCTCCCACAGGGCCCTTCAGGAACGTTGGCTTGTCCAAGGCTGCCCAGACCCATCGGCTGAGGAAGCTCCGTGCCCCTTCCAAGTGTCGGGAGTGCAACAGCTACGTGTACTTCCAGGGAGCCGAGTGCGAGGAGGTGAGCTGGGACAGCTGGAACCCAGCTCTGACCACGCTCAGCAGGACATTTCTCCTGTGGGGAGGGTTCCAGGTGGAGAACGGTGCTTTCCTTCCGTGCTGCAGCATCCCCAAGGCATTTTTCCTGCCCCTCAGCGTGCTGTGAGCGGTGCCTGGTGTCTCTGTGGCTGCCCCCCACCTCCACGTGTTCCCCTCTCGCTTCCAGTGCTACCTGGCCTGCCACAAGAAGTGCCTGGAGACTTTGGCCATCCAGTGTGGGCACAAGAAGCTCCAGGGGAAGCTGCAGCTTTTTGGGCAGGACTTCACGAAGGCGTCTCGGGCCAGCCCAGATGGGATCCCCTTCGTGGTCAAGAAATGCATTTCAGAGATTGAGAAACGGGCCCTGAAAACGAAGGCGAGTGACACTCCCCTCTCCTCCTCCTCAGCTGGCCCTTGGAAGGATCCTCTGGAACGCCAACAGACTCAATTTCAGATTTCAGATTTCCACAGGGCAAGGAGCCAGAGATGAGCCTGGCCCAGATACCCCAAACTCTGCCTTTGGAAAATCACCTCTCCTGCCTCCTGCTTTCCTATGAAACAGGATTGACTGAGCTGGAAGGAGATGTCCCAAAATTACTTCCCAAAGGGATTTCCCAATCCAAAAGGAGAGGGTGGGAGCACACAGCTCATGCAAACATGAAGAGGAACCTCTCCCCTCACTTCAGCTCCACTTTTCTCTCTTTCACAGGGCATCTACCGGGTTAACGGTGTCAAGACCCGTGTGGAGAAGCTCTGCCAGGCCTTTGAGAACGGGAAGGAGCTGGTGGAGCTGTCCCAGGCCTCCCCTCATGACATCAGCAACGTCCTGAAGCTCTACCTGAGGCAGGTGAGGTGCTGAGGCCTCACCAGGGGAGGGGGGGGAGTTGGCCAGAGGAACCAACGTGGCAGGAGGAATTCTGCAGGAATTTTGGCTCAGTGACTGGGTGAGTTGGGAGGGAGGGAGGGTTGGCCTTAGAGATGGAGCCAGAGTGGCCCCCCCTGCTCATCCCACACGGCGTCACTGCGGTCACAGCCCCCGAGCAGCGACGTGCCCCAGCGCTGAGCAAGGAACGCTCCACCCCTTAAATTGGGGAACTGGCCACCCAAAAAGGGAAGGGGCCAGCAAAGGTCACCCTGCAGGGGCTGAGTCACGTCCCCGC